TGTAAGCCAATCAGAGGACAGATGTCCAAATATCAGGAAATAGGAGTCCAAACCTCGCCGTCTGAAGCTACTTTCTCCTCCAGCTGACTTTGACATCCTCAAGCAGGCGCGCCAGAGCTTTTTTTTCCCCACAGAGAGAACTTACAAGGCAGTCGTTCCAACTAGAGACTGCTGCAACGTATAAAAACTATGAGTTAAGTTAACCTGTAAAAAATACTGAAATTTTATGAATTCATAGTTCAGCAGGAGTTGGCCCAATTTGCGGTCAACTAATAATATGACCTCAAATTTTTCAATAAATGTAAACAGAGAAAAAAAATACAAAAACTCTTATAAAAATTTAAGTATTATCTATACAGGGAAAAGCCCGTCAGCCTAACAGTGCAAAACAGTAATCTCCAAACAGCTCGGCCTTCTTATCATTCATAGTGCACGTAGAGATAAACACTGCGCTGCTTTGTTGAGTCACTCGTTTACCTCCAGACCACACACAGCCTTCCTCGCCAGATCGTCATCATATATTAACCCTTCAGATGTTTAAGTTTAACCCAGTCCTACTTCTTTCATCAATGAGGACGTAAAATAAGATAACATTAGAAGCAAAACCGCATTCACACTAACATATTCTCGTTTAGCTTCAAGTATTTACTGCACATTCTATAAGGTCTTATGCTGTGTTGGAGCTCCATCCGTAGCCAAATATTTCTGAGGTGGCTTCTGGAGGCGAACGTGCTCTGTTGTACCCGACTGGGTCAGTGCACATTAAAATCAATGTTGACGCCTCAGTGGCTCTACACTGATGTAAAGGAAATCGTTTTTCATAGTGTTCCTCTAGTTGTTTTTTCTATAGTATGTGTTGGGACATGATGTTGCTCCAGCCAGCGGCTCAAAGCATACACCCCTCATCTGAAATCAGCCATCCACTTTAATCTTTGTGCCGCCTCACTGTGAAGTGGAAACGTATCTCTTCTCTTTAGAGCTCCCTCTAAAGTGCGTTGCTCAGAAGTGTTAGCTCTGTCAGCTAGCTGGGGGAACTCATACTCAGCCGAGTGTTTGAATCTTAAATGTCTAATTAAATTGGTGCTGTTGAGTTTAGCTGAATCCACTGAGAAAAATTAGAGCAAAAATCGCAAATTGAGTTAATATTTCCTTTTTATTTTTATTTTTTGCTTTTTCAAATTACACTTCCATGCTGGTCTAAATTGCTATTCCATACATGACAATGTCAGTCGTATTATGGAACAGCTGAGAATGTCTTATACAGATTCATCACATAGTGAAAAAAGTTCTGATTTAAAGTAAAACACAGTACAAAATTTTAAGGCGGAGCTCCCACTGCAAAAAGCAGCACAGCATATGTTTAACATGTAATGATCACATTTAGCTAACAAAGCTACCGTAATCTCATGATTGTCCAACTTTGTGGGGAGGTGGCAGTGAAAACGCTCTGGCCATTCGTGCAGATCTTTTTTTTAATGTAAGGTTTCCTTCTGCCGTAATGCCGAGTTGCATCAGGGAGCCTTCGGTTGTTTATTGGTGGTCAGACTTAGGAGGTAGTCCTGTGCTTTTAACAACGATACTTTTTATTTTATTTCACTTAATGGAAGCCAAGCTCATTAAGTGTTTTTAACAAGCCCTCCGTCTGTCCTCTACAGTCCCTGAGCAGGTTCTAGTTATCTGACCTACAGCTTACTAACTAACGGAAAGAAGCTCCTGGAGCTCCGCATCGCTCCAGTTTATCATCTCAACTGGTTTTGTTTACAAAAGCAAAACTTACGGCCCATGTTTACTTTCATTTTCATTATAGTTGCCGGCCGGGACTTGGCAGTAGCTCCTCGTGTGACCATGACACTTCCCTCTGTTGCGCCAAGGCGTAATATGCTTTCACAAGTTCAGCGTTGCTGCGATATACTACCAAACGTGGCGGCACGAATGCTGCAGAATTCCTGCAAAGCCATGCCGCCGCGGCATGCTCATAAGACACACAGTTGCGGCAGTATCACGCTGATTTGCATGCATCGTTTCTTCTAAAAAGGGCTTAAGTCAGTGACGATGCAAGTTGCTGGGTTCCTTATATAGGAAACATTATTTCTGATTGGCTTAATGAACTGACCTGAATTGGAATGTTTATTATGTGACGTGCCTTGAGACGACTCTTGTCGTGATTTGGCGCTATAGAAATAAACTTGAATTGAATTGAATTTCCGGTCGGCTCACGGGTCCCTGGAAGAACGAAAAACTAAATTCAAATCGACAAGGCTAAAAGGGCTATTTCCCAATTTGCTTTGCCTTACTCCCTGGATCGCACATGTTAAAAAGCAATAATTGGTATTTCAACCACACTTGTCAATTACTTTGAGATTTATCAGCTTGTAAAAGTTCATAATTAGCATGACTACAACTCAGACGTTGGCACGTGGCAAATATGATGTCACCACATAATCTCCTCTCTACTGGAGCAGCTGCTACTTACCAAATGGCCAGATTTATGATGGTCCTTTCCTCCTGAAGACAGGACTTACAGCCATTTTTCCTCTGCTTTTCTTTCTTTCTGCTTCGAGGACGCCAACTTGGTGAGGACTCCAACTTTGGAGTCTTGGACCTATTTTCACACAAAACCTAATTAACATTTCTCTCTGTTCGAAAATAAGCGCTTTCTTGGCTTCAAAAAGCATCTTTAAAATTCACAGACATCATACGTGAAATCCATGGCACGTAACAAACCGGATTAGAAAACAGCGTTTTTAGCCCCACTGACGCATTCATTGTTTTCGTTCTTCCGGGAACCCATGGTCCGGAGGTAGATGGGCTTAACTTGGGCTCCTTATAGAAAGTCAACGTGATGATAAGGCAACGTTGGGTCTAACAAGTCATCTACCTTTACTAAGCTAATGTTAGGTCAGCTAACATTTTATGCTGCTGTCGTGTTTTTAAAAAGTTGAGTTTTAATTGGGTTTGCTGGTTAAATTCCCTTTGCTATTGAAACCAGAGGTTATGTTCACGTACTTTACAGGACTGCTAAAACATAACAACAATTTGTTTTAATATTTGAAAGCATCCCAACTTCCTGTATAAGACCTTCAAAATGAGAGCCCAAGGCATTAACATGTGCTTCAATAACAAAATAATAATAATTATAAAGCAGACCAACAAATGAGAATCTGTTGAAGGTCACTAATAATCCGCCTCTCTGTTAAAACACAGAGAACAACGTTCTGGGTGCTTCGGGTTTTTGTCCTGCTGACCATAATCTGCCTGTTAGGAAATATTTGGATTAAACAGCAGGAGCTGAATTCCTTGGTAGAGTTTTCTAACACCGTGTGAGTGTTTAAATATGTGACTAAGCTAAATAATAATAAAAGAGGAATGCTACAATAAAGGAATATCAACAACATTAATGGCACATTTAGAGAGCTAGAACACCCGCTAATGCTGCTGGCTTCATATTTCCAATGTTTTCATTTAACATTGTCGGCTAAGATGAATTTCTTTACAATAAACATGACACGGAAAATGTTTTCCTTCTTTCCATTTTATTTTATTTTCTTCTCTCTGGATTGGTTATTTTGCAGCGGTGCCTTAAGGTATCAGTGAGTTTTCTTTTTACACTTCAAGCCTGTAGGTTAGTCTATTACAGATTCCTCATTTATGTATTTTGGCACGTGTACAGTTGAGTCAATCGTATTTAAGCTCTGATTAAGAACAGATGACCGTACCACATCAAAATGCCACCTCTAAAACCAGAAACTTTCAGGCCATTTGTCTTCTTTCACCTCACATTCACAGTAAAATTAGAAGCTAAACTGTTTTACCGATTGTTTCAGACAAATACTTGCAACTACTCAGTAAAAAGTAGTCCAATGTATAAATAGTTTGTGTTTTTGCAGAAGTGCCACGAGCAGCCTCGCTGTAATTGCACAAAGTGGTAGTTATTTAAACGAACGACTCCCACTCTAATCACCCACGAAAATCTTCCTACGTTGTAAATGCGCCGGGCTGCAACACGCTGAGAAGACTTTTACCGGTTTTTGCAGTCGATCCTTGTTTGCTGCTGCTGGGAAATAGCTCCTGAAGTGCCCTCTTGCAGCCAATTTGAGCTATACAGTGGTGAGTAGTGGTGACCAATCTTAGGTCAGTTTAATACCAGCAGAACAGTGTGTGAGCTACAGTTTGGTCTCGACCCCATCAAACACGCACAGCAGGACACATCACTGGTCAACGGAGTGGTCAGCAGGACTGGAGCCTTTATTGAAACACTGCTGTTTATGTTCCAAGGGCCTGATCTTACACACATCTTAACTGCACTCGGTGAATCCCCCCCCCCCGAGTTCTCAGCAGGATCCGTATGGATTTCAATTTATGCATTGCTTTCTTTAAAATTACATCAGTCCCATCGCCTCCACTTATACATTCTAAACTGAAAATTGAGGTAGTGGGAAAGTAAATTTACTCAACTGCCTCTACAGAAAAGAAAAAAAGGCAAAGCTCAATTGAATTGAATCGAATTGAAGTGTAACCAGAGGACTAACACAGTATATCTGATGTTCTCAGATAACAGGTTGATGCTTGGGATTGGAGGGCGTTCTGATACCTGAAAGTGTATGAGGCTCAATTTTTCCCTCAGTCTGAGTCAATATTAATAAGGTTTGATCTTTATCTGATCTCTTCACCCCACCAAGGAGAATATAGATGAGATCAGTGCTCTGTTTGAGCAGCAGTTCGATACATCTCCAGCTCAATAGGACACATCAGGCAGCCTGAGCAGGATGCAGCTTCGCTGCAAATGGTTAAGAAGGTTTGAGGGTGGCACTTTCATTTTGGGTTTCGGCCCAAAAGCTGTTTCACGAAAGCTCGCTTGAATAACGTCGTGTTTCTTGATGCCATTTAGGAGGTGTTTGGCTTGCCTCTAACACCTGGTCGGTTTAGCAGAAGTGCACGAGGAATTAAAGATCTACAGCTCTACTGTAATCTCAATCTGCATGTCTGTCTCTCTGCTGTAGATTTAGACTTCTGTAAAACGGGGCAATTAAGGAGCCCAGACTTCCACATCCATCAGCAGCAACAGCAGCAGCAGCAAGAGCAGGAGGAAGAGGCGCTGTGCACCGGACCGGCTGCCCACGTCCACAGTCACGGCTACTCCCTAGGTGTCGGTTCTGATGTGGACACTGAGCCGGAGGTGGACCCCTCTCCCACTCACGGCCTGCAGCACATGTGGATGCGTGGCCTGAAGTCCGAGCAGAGCTCGTGTCTCACAAGCCGTGCCAACTCGGCCCTCTCCCTGACCGACACCGAACATGACAGGAAGTCCGAGCCCGATAACGGTAAGTGGAAAAGTAAATAAATAAATAATGAAACCCTTCCTATGAGTTGGCTTTTAGGATGAAAGAAAACATGTGCTCAAGTTGGTGTCGCCTGTGTTTTCCAGTAGATTCCCTACAGTCTCATTATGGAAATATGAATTTCCTGCCAGGGAATGCAGAAAAAAGGAAAACAACATGTAACATTGCACCTTTTTCAAAGGTTTAAGCTCCAGCCTTGGGCAATTACATGAATGAAACTTTTTGAACCAGCTCTAACGCCTGGCCTCCTCTCTCTTTGAAGGCTCTTTGATGTGACTTAATGCAGAAAATGTGCTATAGGTTATTTGCTGAGCTTGTGTTGAAGTTGATCTCATGGCTGACCGGGGAGGCAGTATGAAGGAAGATGGCGGACAACCGCGGTATATTACCGGCATAATCCATGAAAAGAAGGTGCAGGGGTTGGTTTTACGCTCTGAGGCGAAGGAATTGAAGGGGTCGCATGTCTACAGAGCCTCGACTGGCTGCCTGAGGGCATGCTGACAAGCGCCTCAGTGGGAAGGCCACGGAGCCTGGGAGGAAGGCGGAGAAGTTGAGAGGCGGGAATGATGATGCGGGGCCAAGTAGAGAAGAAGGAGTCTGGGATGGTGCCAGCTATCTGTCTTGCACTGCTGGGCTTGGCTTGGCTCCCTGCAGATGGAGAGCTAGTTAGAGGTGCACACAAACAAAAGCAGAGCTCTCCAAACCATCCCCAAGGGCGCTGTCTGTTTCTGTGCCGCAAAAACGGTGGAACAAATTCAGTGGCTGAGCAGAGGACGGGTGTCACAGGAGAGAGGTGAGATGGGAAGAATAAGAGACAGGCAGAGCCAAAAAATGCAAATGAGAGAATAGAAATGGTAATGTAATGGTATAATTAGAAGGAGGATAAAAGGAAATGAGTGGTGGAGGTTAAAAGAGGCGAAGGAGAAGCTTGTTTCGAGTGCTCCGTGGGAGATGGAGAGGACGAGACCAGTGGAGAGCCTGAGAAAAGAGTTTCTAAGATGTTTGTGTTGCGCTCTGGGGTGCTGTTTAATGACCGACAGACCGGACTTCCAATCCGCCTCGAAGAGACGCGCACGCTCCGAGAAGTGATGCTGTGAAGGAAAGCGAGAACGCTTGCAGCATCACACAGTGATCAGTTTGTGACGGCTGCGTTCGCAGAAGTAATCAGCATTTGACATGAGGAAGTCCATCCTTACCCAGGCCCAGAGAGAGAGGGCTGGAGCGAATGGAAACAGAGAGGATGAAGTGACAGGAGTTAGAAGAAAGGATAGAAACGCTCAAAGTTTGTGGCGTTTCTGCCACGGTGCAGCAGGAACGCTGGTTTTATTTGTGGATGTTATACATGACGTGATGATGATGATGATGTCCGTCCTCTGGCTTTGCAAGCTTCCTCCAGCTCTTTCTTTTACTCACAACTTGTTTTGGTATCTTTGACTTTTTTTCTCATCCCACTTCCTGTCTGTCTGGCTCTGACACATGACCAGGTGTCTCCATGCATGGCATTGTCTAAGAGAGAATGCATTATGGATGTCACATTTCTTCCCGTCAGCACAACAAAGTCTCGCACGCCCTCCTGTTCCTGCTGATAATGAAAGTTAGTGCCACTTGCAAAAGAAATCAAAAATACGCTGTTGGCGTAAAGGGGCTGGAATCACAAAAACTGGAGCTCCCGCCAGAATAAAAGTGTTTTTAGTCAGGCCGACCTTGCTCTCCCTTTGTCTTCAGAGCTCGGCCCCCCTCCCAAACCCATTAAAGGTGTCAGCTTCAAACTGGCAGGAATCCTTTTGTTCCTCGTCTGATTGAAGCTGACAAGTCAATTTAGTCACTCCGTGTGTGTGTGTGTGTGTGTGTGTGTGTGTGTGTGTGTGTGTGTGTGTGTGTGTGTGTGTGTGTGTGTGTGTGTGTGTGTGTGTGTGTGTGTGTGTGTGTGTGAAACAGACAAAGGGCAGGACAGATTAAGAAAGAGTGAAAGGAAGGCTGATTCTGTTTGTGTCATGTTTACGCAGCATTTGTCTGCTTCCCCCTTTTCTGTGCACTTTGAGCACGTTGGCGGTGGCGAGGGGGAGGCATGTCCATTTGTGAGACTTCCCTTGGGGGAGGCTGTAGGAATCTTGCGAGCACCAGACGCACCTGCTGACAAACCCGGGAAAACATCGACAGCCCGAACTGATGACAGTGCGCAGCGAGAACGGGGGAGATTGGCAGAAGAAAGACAAAGTGTAGTTCAGCCAGAGTTTGCTGCTGACACCGACACGCACTATATGTTCAAAAGGATGCATGCATGGAGGTGAAACTATTAATCATGTCATCAGCTGCTACATTAACTGAGTCTTTGGCAGCTTGCATCATATCGTGAATTTCAAAGATGTGTTTGCAGGCAGCTGATTTTCATTCAAGTGGAGTGGATTAGGAAATGCAGTGAGGATTTATTGAAAACTCTGGTAAGCTGTGAATGAAGAAGTAATCAGATGAGCAGTGCAAAGGGAGAACGAATGGCCATGTGCGGCTGGAGGGATAGAAACCAGCAGAAAGGATGCTAAGACAAAGCGGAAATGACACAGAAGCAAAACTATAAAGACCAAGTTCACTACGTTTTAACGTACTTTTGAAATATGATAGGTCACTGAGAGTTTAACATAGCCTGATAAGCCATCCTATATATGTGAATATATAGTCTGGCAAAGGCCTATAGGGAAATCTCAGTCTTGGGGCAGAATCTCCAGTTGTCATTCAAACTGTCTCTGCATGCTATTGGACAACGAAAACTCACTCTTACGGATGTCAGTCAATGGGACAGTCTGCCATACACAGTTAAAGAAGGCGCAAATATGTCCTTTTTCTAAATAAGGGACTTCAAAGAATAGTCCAAGTCTAAATTGACCACAGGTGATGCCAAAGCCGCCATCTTATTTGGTTTGCTCTGTCGCAACATCCCGCCCACTAAACCAATAGAGCGCTGTGATTGGCAAGACACAAAACTGTTCAGGCCAATGGGAGACGTGTTAAGGCTCCTGTGGAGCATGAATCGACCAACCAGCAGGGAAAAATCAATTTGCTTCTGCTAGTTTGTCTAGATTTCTAGGCAAAGTTTATCATGCAGGCTAAATGTGGAAATAGTCTTCTACCCCTATTTCCAGCCCTCAAAAGAAAATAGACAAGGAAACAGTCAGTCAGTCCCATGTCACATTATCAAATTAGCATTCATGGACTCACAATCAAATCAATCAAAGCTTTATTTATAAAGCGCCTTCCGCAACCCTGTCGGGAAGCCCAAGGCGCTGAACATAGTACATGATAAAGTTAAATATGGTGAATAAATCGAAAATTAAAGCAATTCAAATTACAAATTACAAAAAAAAGGTGAAACATTCTAGTAGAAGACAAATGGGTAAAACAAGGGATTGAGTAAACCAATGAAAACAGGGAAATAAATTCAACGTAAAAGAGGGCCAAAGTCAAACACTTTCAGGAAACGCCAAGCGGAGAAGGTGTGTTTTTAGGTGACTCTTAAAGACTGGCAGAGATGGGGACAGCCTAACTGAGGGTAGTAACTGGTTCCAGAGTGACGGTGCTAGGACTGAGAAAGCCCGGTCTCCACGGGTACGACACCTAGAACGAGGGACAGCGAGCAGGCCTTGGTCAGAGGAGCGCAGAGCGCGTGATGGGGAATGTCTGTTCAGGAGTGTGGCCAGATAGGGGGGACCACCACCCTGGAAGAAATGATAAACAAAGACGAGGATTTTGAATTGTGAGTGATAGCAAACCGGAAGCCAGTGCAGGGAGGTCAGAACCGGACTGATGTGGTCCTGTTTCCTGGTCCCAGTCAGGAACCTGGCTGCGCTGTTCTGCACAACCTGTAGGCGACGCAGTGATGACTGACACAACCCTGCATATAGAGAGTTGCAGTAGTCAAGCCTAGAAATAACAAAGGCATGCAGTACCCACTCCAGGTGGGCTCTCGACAGCATAGGCTTGATATTTGCAAGGCGTCTCAGGTGATAGAAACTGGACCGGATCACTGAGTTGATGTGAGCATCAAACTTAAGTCCAGCATCAATTTTCACCCCCAAACTGGTAACAACTGGTTTTGAGTAGGCAGAAAGAGGGCCAAGATCAACATAACGACCCACATTCCTGCTGTTGGGGTGAAAAACAATGAGCTCTGTCTTTCCCTCATTCAGATGCAGATAGTTGGCCATAAACCAAGACTAATCAACATTGCATGGATGTGCAGATCTATTATGTTATATATATATATATATATATATATATATATATATATATATATACACACACATATACATATATATATATATATATATACACACATATACATATATATATATATATATATATATATATATGTATATATATATATATACACATATATATATATATATATATATATATATATATATATATATATATATATATATATATATATATATATATATATATATATATATATATATATATAAAACATAATAGATCTGCACGTCCATGCGATGTTGATTGGTCGGTAGATGCTCCTCCTTTACAAGAATGATGTTCTTTCATTCCAACTGTAACTGGTTTTTTGATCAATGAAATTAAAAAATACAATTTTCTAATAATTTAGGTGGATACACAACAGACCCCAGAGAAAGTGAAGCTCGCACAGCAATGATTTAAAGTATTTCTGTATTGATTGGGTTGAACCTTTTTTGATAGTAGCTTCTAGGAGTCACTGCCATGTAATAAAATGTTTAAATGAACTCTGTTTGTTGGACAGTTTACCTGCCAGGAGGGTAGGAGCCATGTTTAATTGGATAATGACTAACCGGAGGTGTGTGTGTACTTCTGCAGAGCATGGTTGATAAATAATAATCAAATAATTATTATGGATGCTGTTGTGTCTGTAAACACATAGCAGTTCGGAGGACAACGCTAAATGCCACAGAGTGCCTAGTGCTCAGGATGAGTCTGTGTGCAGAAACAAAGAC